GGCACTAAGCCAATGGAGAACTCAATCTCCCGGTAGGGTGGCAAACTAGTAAGATCCTCGGGAAAGACATCCGCAGTATTCACAAACTACCCTTAGCAATTCAACACGGGCCCTGTCACTCTCACTATCCAAGAGAGCTGCAAGAAGGCCACTAAGCTTGCTCCTATTACGAGGGTCAAAAACTGGCGATAGGACCCTATCAACCCGGTCTCCCAAAAAATACAATCACCACCCGAGATGCACACTATAACTCTCTGACGATAACAATCAATCACAGCTTGGTACGAAGATAACTAATCCATACCGTGAATGACATCAAAACTCGACATGTCTAGCGACACAAAAGCAAACGGGAGTCGATGCCCGGCAACCTCTATCTCACAACCACGACATCCCTAGTCTAAATCAACTGTACCCCCAACTAGTGACTCTACTCTGAGTGGAGATGCTAACCCTGCCACCTCTAATCCCGATGTAGTAGCAAAAGCAGTAATTATAAATGAATGAGACGCATCTGTATCTATCAACACATTAGCCAAAGAATTACACACAACAAAATACCTCTCATAACTGAGGATCCCGGTAACTACTCTGGCGCGGTAATAACATACACGCACCCTTGTGGCCTCTAATCAACTTGCTCATCTCTCAGAGAATAGGCCTGCTGCACTGACTGAGCCGAAGCGGCTCTCTAATCAGCTCGCGAAGTCTGGATTGGGTGAGCCTGTTGGTGGCTCTGAGTTTGCCTCGACCCAGATGCGTCAGATGCGCTTCCCAACTGCGGGCAAACCCTCTTCATGTGTCCCGACTGACCACACTGTTAGTAAGTAAGTCCTTGCCCTCTACTCTGAGACTAGCTTTGGGATCGGTTAGGTGGTGGTGGTGGCAACATCTACTATCCTCCCCCCTTCTGTGGGCATGAAAAGGTCTTGTGACCCAGTTGGTCACACTTAAAATAAGAAAAACCACTCGGTGCATTCTTCCTCGGGCCCGAACTAGGCAAAAGGAAGGCAGATCTAGACTGCTACGGTTGGGACTGCGATGAAAAAGTGCTCATGCTCTTCTTGTTACGTCTATAGTCCCCTTGTGACTCTTGGCCCCTAGACCTTGAACCCCAGATTATTTCTTCCTCGGCTTGCACTGTAATCTCCACATGTGTTACCACCTCCATAAGACGGTCATAGTTTCAGATCATATTCCCGGCAACCTTGAACAAGATCTTGGTTCTCAACCTCTTTTCAAACTCTATGCAACGGCGTTCCTCCGTTGCCACCAACTCCGGTGCAAACCAGGACAAACTAGTAAAGGTCACTTTGAATTCGGCTATTGATGTGCTCAACTACTTAAGGTCTAAAAACTCCTGCCTCAGTCTCTCCCTAGTAGTGGATGGTAGGTACTTGTCTTGGAAAGCAATAACAAAGGCTTCTTATGTTGGCTCAACTCTGCCTTTGGCGTATTTTGACCATTGGCCCGCATCCTCTTTCAAATAATAGCTCGTTAGAGTCACTCTAAGCTCACTATCCTCAATGTGAAGCATTTCAAATGTCTTCACTATTTGCTCCAGTCATTCATTTTCCTTCTTAGGCTCTAGACCCCTATGAAACTAATCCGGCTTAGCCCGCAAAAATTCAGGAGTAAGAAAAGCCACCCTAGTCTCTATGGTATTCTATCGGGCTTGATTCTCTACCCTCAATATGTTCATCGACTCCCTGACACCGCTCGAGCAACCAAAAGACCACTCGAGTGGTCTCAACTTGAAGGTGAGACAAAGCAACTTGAAAACATTAGCCAACCTTTCCAGCTTCTCTCCAACACCCAAAAGCATAAGATGACATCTCGGAACACACTAAGATGTACCTACCGGAACAACCACAAGCAAGAATGGATAGCAACATAAGGCTCAAAAGATTTGACAATGATGGAGACAACACAAAGATACAGAGGTTTGACAGAAGTTTCAAACAGTTGGTGGCCATGAAGCAAACAGAAGAAATGGGAGATCGACAGATAGAAGTGAAGGTTTAGTATACTTGGAAAGCCTAGAAGGGAGATCATGGGTTTTGATATCCGTATACTGTTTTTGTGGCCCATCATTGTATGATCTCAAACGTTTACACCATAACTGCCACTATAACTGTCCCCTGACTTCAAATTTTCATGTCCTCTCTGCCAAATACTGACTCTTCCCTATCGACCTTCCTTTTCACCATTGTGGGGCATGTCCCTCATCATTATGAGACAAAAATCGATAGAATATTGTCCACTAAACACAATCACAATCCTTGCAAACTGGGCCACTGAACCACAACACTTGGCCACTCACTGTACTGCCCCCTGACTTTGAATCATCAAACTCTGCCAAATATTGAATTTTCCCTGTAATTTAATCAATATATTCAATGTTGGTAAACTTGTTAATATTTGAAATAACCTTTTTTTGGATTGTAATGACTTAAACACAATTGTTGTCCTACATTTTACGTAACCACAATACACAACTTATTTATATCGAAAACAAAATATACATCTCAGGTTTATAATCATAAAAATGGAAACTACTTTTTTTTAAAAAAAGATTCACTTATATTTTCAGCTAAATTATGATTGGTTATTTTTTAAAAATTCCTCTTTGCACCTATTTTTCCCACATCTTGCGAACAACTGCTCCATTCAATTGAGGACACATGGCAAGTCCACCTGAAGACAAGGGTTATCAACTAACATTGAATTTTGCATGCTACCTGACTTACACGGTGGAGCAGTTACTGGCAGTGCTTATGGATTTAGTGGCCAGTCTCCAAAAGGAAACATGAACGAATTGGGAGTTTGTATCTGTCGAGGAAAGGTTAAAAGGACTTGCGCACAGGTGGCAACTTCAATGATATGCACTTCGACAGGTACAAGTGAAGGTTTTATGTGGTTTCAAGACATGGAAATGACCGTGCAGTTACAGAAGTTGCACATAAGCAGTTGCAGATTCGGCAGATCATGGGGTCGTGGGAAATAAGAGCTATAAAGGGTAGAAGGTTTGCACAGAGAGAGGACATGAACAACAACACAATAACTTACTTTATACATTTTAACTTCTAAGTAATTTTTTCCTTTCTCATTTGTACTTTGTCACTGGGTGAACTTTGGTGATTTCAACCTCAAATCAGCAAAGGTTTATCTTCTACAATTTGTTACCATCAGCTCATATCAGAAAGTTCATTTTACTTATTTACTTTGTTACCATCAGTTCATCAAAAGAAGTCTTCATCCTTTTCAGGCATTCGAACCAATACCACAATTGCTTGATTTTCTTCTTTAACTTGTCAACTTTAAATTACTGCTTGGTTGTTGTTGATATAGGCCCACCATAATTTTACTAATAATAAACCCATCACTTTCATAGTTAACATGAAATAATTTCACAACTCCTGTTCGTAACTCGTAATTCATATAGCAATCGGCATAGAGGTAAAGTAAACGAGTTCGTTGGGTTACTTTCTCCAAGTAACAACCAAAATTAACTGCCACTTGGATTATATACAAAATGCATGTGCTGGGATGTAATTTTACAAAACCACACGGACAAAATTCGTATTGTACTCAAAATATAATACTAATTTACCGAAACAAGTCATAACAAGTCAATACGAAGCCAAACACATCGTTAGTTGATAAACCACACCGCAAAAAACCCTTCAGTTAGATCCAACCAAATATGAAATAGAAACAAGCAACCCACAATAGGAATCTTGGAATGCAGACATAAGCCAATTTCCAACCCAAAACAATACACGGATAACCCATATATATCTCACCTTCAATTAGTTTTCAAAATGACAAGTCACTGCAAACACAAATGACAACATCACTCTAAACAATATGGAAAATTTATAACTCATGGACTTGTACATAAGTAATGTTGTGTCATTTCCTGGCATTGTACGTAACCAATTATTTACACGTTATGTATAACAATCCGTGCAAAATGAAAACTACATACATATCTACCCTGTTCTTCGCAATGATGCGTTTTCAATAGCTAGTACTGTCTACTTAATAAATTAAGGGAATAAGTAAATCATACAAATTATACAATTACCTGATTCACCTCATCAATTGTGGTCGAATCATTTTTGCACACTGCTGCTTCGACACTACCGTATTGGCCCACAGGCTGTTTGGAATCAGGAGAAACATCGAAAAATAGTCGTCATTGCTTAATATGCGGTGTACTTGGATCCACCAACCCAGTCTTGCAACGAATGGGCAATGACTCCACATTGTACTCAGGGTCGGTGATGTGGGTTGTATCTGCATCTGAGTTACTATGCACTGTTCGGCTAAATCAAACCTTAGGACACGTTCACTTTGTGTGCCCAATGCATTTGCAATTCTTACATTTTCTTGGTCTTTGATAGTTGGATGAGGCCCATTCCCACGTTCCATTTTGTTTTCACAAGATCAGGATCTTCTACTCCAAATTGTCGTGGGATTGAATGTTTCCCTTTGTCTCCATCCCCATCGTTCAGATTCCTCTCATGTAACTCCTTCATCCGGCTCGTCATCGGAAGACATGCATCCTTAGCCTCTTTGAAACCTTCTGTTGATTGCGAGGCATAGAAACACATTTCATTGTAGGAAGAACTCAATATCCCATACCAGGCTGTCTGTGTTATAGTGCTATCAATTGAGGGTTGAGGCCATTGCTGGCCATCCTTGCTTGTAGCCCTTGTCCATCTATGCAGCACACAAGTTGGGAGAATTTGCGTTAAATTTTTGACTTTCATAACACATATCATGTGACAGCAAGGTAGCCCTAATGATTTAAACTTCATGCAAGAACATCTCATTGCAGCATCCACTAGATTGTGTGTCACTATCCATGATTTATCCTTCACCTTGTACTTATGAATATAGTAGCATTTCTGACCATCCGGCAAAGGGAACACGTCCTTGACATTCAACTTCCCATCTTCTAAGATTTCATCACGAAACATTCTAAATATATTTCAGGTGAATAGCTCAGCCCCATGTCTCTCTATATCTCGCAATGGAGTAATCAATACCGGAAAAGTGTTAATTGTTTCAGCATCAGCCTCATTATACCTTATCCTTGCAAGAGCCCGATCATAGTGCCTAGGAAATTCGTATAGCTTCAATTTGTGTTGGAGGAAGGGATTAAAATAAGCATTCATACTCTCCGAGCGCTGAGTGCTCTTCATCCCAGCAAAGAAATGTCCACGCATATATGCCTCAGCCCATATATCACGCTTCTCATATGTCTCTAACACCCAGCTGTTGGTTTGAAGTCCAAATTTTTCGACCATTCTTGTCCAGCCATGCTTAAACTTTGCCTCATCCATTTCCATGTCCATGCATTGCTTGAAAGCATGTGCAAATCTACTTTTGTAAACATTTGAAACAGTATTTTTCCCAAGATGCCAATTACATAATCGATGTCTTGCGTCTGGAAATACTCTTCTGGTTGCCTCTCGCATCGCCATATCCCCATCTGTCAGTATGGACACAGGTGCTTTATTGCCCATCGCCTCCATAAATGTTTCGAAAACCCATGTGTATGTATTAATTGTCTCATTAGCTAGCAAAACATATGCAAATATCGTGGTCCTAAAGTGGTTAGTCACACTAGCCAACATGACAAAAGGTTTCTTGTACGTATTGGTTCTGTAAGTTGAGTCAAATATCAACACATCACCAAACTTTGCGTAGTCTGCCCAGAACAGATTTTGTAACTTGTTATCCTTACATACATCATACTTGTAAAAAAAATGTGCGTCAACATCAAGTTTTTCACATAGCTAAACCAACGTACCCTGCGCGTCACCATCCTCAACTTCTGCTCTACGTACGGCTTGAATATGGCTGTGAAGATCTGTACGGATGAAACCAACATTCTCATAAGACCCAGATTGATTTACCATATAGTCCATGATTTGGCTAGTCTTCACACCGACGTTGTGCATAGTCATTGCTTGAGCTTTGTCAACACTGTTTAAACCATGATGTGACCTCAGATACATCACACAGTGTTGTTCCGCCAATTCATGGTTGTGGTCTATGACGAAGTGAGTCACAACATACTTTCCCCCTTCACCAGCATCTACATCGTATCGTATACGAAATTGGGCTTTGCAACCTACTCTTGTTAGTGCCTTGGGAGCTCTACTCTTCTCAGCAACACGGTCCAAGTATTTTGGTAATCTCTAACCTTCCCTTCAACACAACCACAGCCTACTAACAACCTTTCCTTCTTTATTTGTGTTAAATCTGGATTTTCGAATACTAAATCCCTTGGCTTTAGCATACGCATTGTAGAAAGCTTCTCCATCTTCGACCGAATCAAATTTCTATTCTAGAATAGCACGTTCAACATCACCAACCATGTCATTGCGATGAGCATCGTCAACCATTTCTTGTTTCACATCGGCTTCGCCATCTTCCACTTTCATGTTGGTTGCTTCTTCATTGCTCGGACTAGCTTCGCAACCATGATAAGGTTCTGCCCGACTTTCATTGATCAAATGAATGTCATCTGCTTCATTTGGAATGTCATAATCATCACCTTCCCTTTTAACTTTCGCTAGGGCCATACTGCACATGACATTAGTACAAACAATTAATTGATGACCGAAAAATGTTAACACAAACACAAACATGACATTTTCACACGGTTTAATTGTTTGTGCAAACACAAACACTCGCTTGAGAAAGAGAAAGGTTAGTTGCCAATGGAGGGGTTTCCGTTTGAGCGAAGCGTAGAGCGGTTGAAGTTAGGATGGGGATTTAGTTGAGGGAAAATAGCTGAAGTGAAGAGGCCAGAGAGAGAGGGAGACAGAAGGAGGGAAACAGCTCCATACCTCATATCTAGTTGAAGAGAACGTCTTCACTTCAGCAATGGAACCAATATAGCCTTGTAGTTCCGTTGTTATTGGAAATTGCCTGTTATACGCTTCCCTACGGAGCTTCGTCAATGTAACCCAGCAGGGGCTTCTCACTGCTAATGGAAATCAAGGGTTACACTGACTCAACCTTACGCAGAGAGGAGAACAGAGAGAGATGGAGACGAAATAGAGAGAGTGAGTGGGATGCAATCATGCAAATACAAGCATTAACTGGTTGCCCCGGTTTCAACTTTTCCACGATTAAATAATTCAATGTTCTTGATCAATTATTGTAATCTAACGGCTAAAAATTAGGTTGCATATGGTGTGCAACCTTAAGGGGGTTGCACACTTAAACAGCGTTTTATACGAAAATACAACATGAATGTTCACAATTTATAATTAATATACAACTAGTGTTTTAAAAAATAAACTCATACTAATGTGAACATGCACACTACAACGTGAAAACATAAAATAAAATTGAAAAAAAAGTGAAAATCAATAATTTCGATTGTTCAATGGTAACAAAAATGATTGTTCAACCAACAAGCATTGTAAAAAAAAAACAAAAACAAAATACAACAAACTTTTGAAAAAACTTCAAAAAAAAAAAAAAAAAAAAAAAGCTCATATCAAAATACAATATGAATGTTCACAATTTACAATTAACATACAACTAATCTTAGAAAAACTAAATTTATACCAATGTGAACATTCACACTGCAACATGAAACAAAATTAAAAGAAAATAAAAATGACTATTTCAATTGTTTTATGGTAACAAAAAATGATTGTACAAACAACAAATATAGTAACAAATAACCAATGATATGTGAATATTCACATCTTACAAAATATATAATTATGCCCATATCTATAGTTTAACACTTATTTATCAGATTTTCAAATAATGTGAAATGTGAACATTCACATTGATTGATAAAAAAAATAGAAACAATGGCAGTAATAGAATTAGAAATCCAAAAAAAATTCAATCACTCTAAAAACAAAACAATTTCACCCACATCGTCATGTCCATCTTCATCATCATCTTTATCTTTATTATTATCATTATCATTAACAATCTATGCAATTTCACCATTCCACCAATCCAAATCAAACCAAACCCACATTTGAAAAATATGTTTGTAACGAATTTGACTGGATATAAACAGAGTTTCGACTTACAATAATGGAGAAATATAGAGTTTCAAACACATAGTAATAATGGACGAACACAAAACTTCGAACACAAAGTGACAATGGAGGAACACAAAGTTTCACTGCAACAATGGAGGAAGATAAAATTATTTCATCGCCATGTGTAAACTAAAGTTTCAAAATCCTAGCATAATGAATGAAACTAATCAAAAAGAAAAAACATGAATAATGGTAAATACCAAAATAAAGGTAGCAACAAAAAGAAAATGCGTATATCTTTTTTCTGTGTAATACATATCAATAATAGACATAAGAGTATAATAGTCCAACAAACAATATAAATCAAGAAAAAAAGGATCTCACGGAATAAAAGTATAAATACATTAGACTAAGTAGGTTATAATTTTCTTTAGTAGACTTATTAAGTTAAAACACCTCCAAATATGATTTATCAATAAAAAACCGTTATATAAATGCATTCACTCATCTATATCTTATATTAAAATAGTGCTATTAATTTCACCTAGCTACCTAATTTGGACTCACCTCTTTATAATTTTTTTTTAATAATTTTTTTATTACAAGTTTAGGTATTACAAAATTTCCATCCTACTTTTACATGTAACTTTTTAAACCTTAACCTTAACCTTAATTTTACACCGCTTGACTATCACCACCATCGATTGCCACTCCCAACCCCCCTTCACCCCTCTCCCTTTCCCAGCTCCTCCTCACCACCCATCACCCTCCCTGGACTCTCTCTAGCTCCTTCCCACCCTCCATCACTAACCTTCAGCTCCTTATCCCGTTCTCCAATAGCCCCCACACCTTTTATAAGGAGAAAAATCATGTGAGAGAGAGACATCTTGAGTACTATAAGAAATTAAGGTTTTAGAGTGAAAAATTTAAGGGCAAAATCAATTTTTAAGGATAAAATATTTTTGTTGCTAAAAGTGATTATTTTATTTTTAGTGACAAAATTGGACATTTAGTGATGAATTACTAACCTTTTGGTACCACAAGTTGTGTCTCAAAAAAAAAAAAAAAAAAAAAAACCTTTTTTAGGACAAAATTTCTTTTTTTTTTTTTTTTTTTTTTTTCCTTCTTAAAAGTGCATTTGTTAGCAATATTTTCAGAATTTTGTCTCTAAAAGCTCATTTTTTGACTCTTCGGGATAATCTTTTAGTGATTGTTTTCAGGACAATTGAAATTAATTCTCAAATATTTTTTGCAACAAAATTTACGCTTTTAGAGATAAAAAATCTTATATGAAAGTGTCCCTCAAAATCATTTAAAAAAATAAATAAATTACAAAAGTCTCTCTCTTCACCAATCAAAGTGCTCAATAATTTTATGATCATCATAATATTTTGTCACATTTTATTTACTCATCTCATATATCATCATTACATTAATTTAACGGTTTTATTACTATCATTAATTTAATGGTCGAGTGGAAATTATGAAAGTGGCTTTCTACCCCAAACCATTCCATTCCACACCATACTAAACCATGTGTTTCAATTAATCGAGGTCACTAATATGAATCTTTTTCTAAAAAGAAAATGATATACAAACTTACTTTCTAGACTTAATAATATACAAGTGATATGATTGGTTGATAACTAGAGAAGATATGAGAAACAATATTGCCTTAGATATCCTAATTGATTGCCATATTATTGGGCTTGAAAAATGAATTTATTTTTTGGACTTGAATAGTAATAGTCTTTTTACAACTATGTAGAGCATTAGTTTGTAAGAAAATGATTGTAGAGCATTAGTTGTCATTTGCTACTTCTATATTGTCTCTCAAAATATCAACATATGATGAGTCCTATTATATCTTTTTTTTGGTGGTCTTAATTAACATTGCCAAGTTTAAACTCGATATATTGGTAAGATTTCTCCATGTGTGATATTGGTATAGATAGGTAGTGATTATTAGTGGTAATTGTTAGGTTTTTGTTATTGGCAATCCTGTTTGCCAAAACTCCTTTCAGTTGTAATTTTGTTCAACTTTTATTTAAGTGAGGCTCTGAGTTTTTAAATGTGAATCCAACCCGAATTGTGCCTTGCAGAGATGTTTCTGAAGTTAATTTTTTTATGTTTTCTACTTTGCTGGCTATGTCAGGGATTGAGCTGTTCGGTTAACTTGCGGGGGTCCAGGGGGTAACACCTCTTGGCGGGTTTGGGGCAGCGCCCGGCGCCCAGGTAGGGTCGAGGGGTAGTGCCCTTGAAGCAAAATGAAAAATTACAGTCGAAGTTGTTTTTCCGCTCGAGCGGCCTTTCCTCCGCTCGAGCAGAGATCGCGACCTTTCAGAAGTTTCACTCATCTGCAAAAGTATTGGGAGTTGTTTTTTTCCGCTCGAGTGGTCATTCCTGCGCTCAAGTGTAGACCTTGTTTAGTCACATGCGTTTTAGTTACTCTGTTCGATCGGTCATTCTTGCACTCGAGCGGAAATCGTGGATCTATTTTCTATAAATATGTGGTTTTATCAGATTTTAGGGTTACGGTTTCTAGATCTTCTTCTTGGGTATTAGGGTTTTTATCTGGAGCTTCTTTACTTTTTTCCTTTGATATTTGTGAGAGTTTATATCATGAATTGAGTGGATTATATCAAAGGGTTTGTTTATTTTGTTTTATTCACAAAAGAAAGATTTGTTCTTTGGTGGATTCTGTAGAATTTGGGCTTAAAGCTTTGGTAGATTTTGGAGTGGCTCATCGTCGTCGATTCGACATTGGCATTGTGGATTCAATGTTAGGCAAGGCAATTTTGAGGTGAAAACGGGGCTAGAAGAGGCACATAGGGGTCGGTTTGATTCGTACGTAGATTCGCTAGGTAATTGAGAGTACACTTTTTTAATTCCTTTATGTCTTCTTAGTGAATTATTTTGTGGCTTTTGCCCATGATTTTTTTTTATCACAATTGGAGGCACTCCAATTGTGGTTTTTCCATGTAAAATCGTTGTGTCGATTTGTCTTTGATTGTTTCATTGGGATTGCTATTTACTGATTAAAATTGATACATAATCACAAATCAATATCTAAGGGATTTTTAGATTTTTCAATTGGTATAAGAGCGGGTCGCTTTATTTGATTTTTTTTTATAAAAAAACTATTAGAGTGAGATCTTATTTGATATAATGGATTCAATTCATGAAAGAAATTCCATGGTTCGACTACCCCTACTTGACGGATCCAATTATTCTTTTTAGAAAGCTCGAATGAGATCATTTTTAAAATCTATTGCTGAAAAGTTTGGCAATCTGTCATGTATGGGTGGACCGAACCGATGATTAGCATTGATGGAGTAACCTTCCCCAAACCAATTGATAAGTGGGACACAATTGATTACCAAAATAGTAGCTGGAATAGTAAAGCTATCAATTCTCTTTTTTGTGCCATCACACCTGAAGAGTTTTGTCGTATTTGCAATTGTGAAGTCGCAAAAGAGGCTTGAGATATCTTACAAACTATTCATAAGGGCACTCCTTCTGTTAAATGCCCAAAACTTCAAAGGCTCACATCTAGTTTCAAAAAC